AACCAAAAAAAAAAAAAAAAAAAAATTAAGAGACACTGTGATACAATCCTCAGTATGCAGTGATGAAAAACAAGGCTATTCTCCTATATAACCACCATACCCTTATCAGCCCTAAGAAAGTTAGCAATAATTCCTCAATATCTAATGTTCAGTTCACATTTGAATTTTCCCTATTGTCCCACAAATGTCTTTTAGGGATGCTTTCCCCAAACCAGTCTCCTATCATGGACCAAGCACTACATTTGATATTTCTCTTAAATCTCTGAATCTACAATAAACTATTTGTGGTGTTGTTATCTATAATAGATGAATACAGAAGGAAGAGAGATAAGACCCCACTCTTCTCTCTTCTAACAAAACATACCAGGTGAAATTCTTGTTTAAATCAGGGAGAGCTTATTTATTATCCAAAAGGCCCTCCTGGCAGGCTCCACATCATAAAGCACTCACCATGAGTCCAAATGGTGTCTAGCCCTCAAGGATCATTCTCACCACTGAAGAGCAAACCTGCATCTTTGGGGAAAGGTGCCTACCCTTTCTCTGGAACAATCTCTGGGCCTGGAATGCCTCAGCATATTTGAAGGAAAGAGGGGGCTGAATGGAAGGCATAGGCAAGGGCAAGTACCTGGCCTGAAGCTCCAGGGAGCGCTGCTTTCCTGACACCAGGAAGGTCCGAGGCAGATTGAGGTTGGAGCTTTCCTTTAGCTGAATGGAGGGAGAAAGGGGCACGGTGAGGCCATTAAGCTCCACAGGACCCTAGTTCTCTGCACACACAGATTTGGGGATCACAACCAGCATGTCTTTGTTCCTCCCAACATCAACGCCCCACTCCAAGTTTCCATTTCCCACCTCCTGGTGCTCACCTCCATGCCATCTACATCAATGCGTGCCCGCACGCTAAATTTCTGGCCAAGGAGCCGCAGCCTGGGCACACAGTAAAGGAGGCGGTCGTTGAACTAGGAAGGAAAAAATGTGGACATAGTGAGGATGTGGCCTAGCTCCCTACCCTTATGGGACTCCCAAAGTTTTGTTGCTGAGGACTCTAGGCAATAGATGGAGAAAAGAGAGTCCAGACTGGGCACAGGGTCACAAGGATAGAGCCTGGGCATGGAAGATACTTCCTAATGGGTGATCTTGGGCAAGTCATTTCTTTGCAAAGTTACCTCATCTGTATAGTAGAGAAAAAAATTCCTAACATAAATAGTGAAAATATAATGAATTTCTGGAGGAGAGAATGGCTAGTGGGAGGTATAGTTCTGAGTGAATACCAGGTCAGTATGTGTGGGGAAGGACACCTATAGCCTCAACCTGGTACTTACTAGTATGAGGTATCGGTCTTGAGTGGTCCCATTCTTTGCTGACAGCTTAAGGATGTGGCCTTCTTTTATGAGCTCTTTAGTGGGGCTGACAATGTCCTCCTCACCCCCTAGCAGCTCATACACCTTCAGCAGCTTGTGCATTCGCTCCTGGCAGAAGACAAGGAATAAAATGCAGGGCTGGAGTACCAGCATCCCCTCAGATGCCCATAAGTCACAAATTTCCACCCCAGGATAGGGGCACCACAAGTGGGTGGCCAAGGAAGGGCAGGGGCTACAAGGGCCACTCACCATTTTGCGGATGGCAGCATTAGAGTGCTCTGCTGCTGTGGCTATCAGCTCCAGAGATTCTAGGGGCACAGAGAGGTGAGGTCAGATGGTGTACTAGCAGAGAGGAGGCTCTTGAGGGCTTCTCTCTTTCCTGAATACCTCCTCCTGGCCTAATCACACCCTTCTCATCCCAGAAAGTGCCAGTCTCAAAGATGTCCATAGTAGCATCATTTAAAATCAGAAACGGTCTCAGTGTCACAATGGCAGAATCATAACACATGGACTGGCTGGCAGGCAATGAAATGCAAGCTTGCCATGATTACTGTTACCATTAATAATAACAACAATAATAGCTACATATATAACTGGAAGGGAATATGCCCATGTTTAACAAGTTATCTCTGGTTGGTGGGATTATGGGTGGTTTTTGTTGTCTTGAGATTTTCTGTATTTTCCATATATACACATATATATATTTTTCGAGCCAGTGTCTCACTCTGGCACCCAGGCTGAGTGCAGTGGCACAATCACGGCTCACCGTAGCCTCAAACTCCTGGGCTCAAGCAATCCTCCCACCTCAACCTCCTGAGTAGCTGGGTTTACAGGCGTGCGCCACCATGCCCAGCTACTGTGCCCAGCTTTATTTTCCACATTTTGGACAAAGAATATATTACTTTTAGCTGGGCTCGGTGGCTCAGCCTGTAATCCCGCGCCTTGGGAGGCTGAGGTGAGTGGATTGCTGAGCCTGCGGGTTCGAGACCCGCCTGGGCAACTTGGTGAGACCTCATCTCTACAATAAATCAAAAAAATTAGCCAGGCATGGTAGTGCACGCCTGTAGTTCTAGCTACTTGGAAGGTTGAGGCAGAAGGATCACTGGAGCCCGGCAGGTCGAGGCTGTGGTGGCCAGGAGCAGCCCCTGCACTCCAGTCTGGGTAACAAGAGACTCCAACTCAAAAAAAAAAAAAAAAGAACATATTACTTTTATAATCAGATAAAAGCCCTATAAAGAAACAAAGAAATTATCCTTTTCTTTTTCTCTATAATTCTGATTATAGCTATCTGTGCTAAGAAAATACATGTTCTATGTACAAATACACTTTCATTGTAGTGCTGTTTACGAAAGTTCCAAACTGGAAACCAACATGTCAAGCTGGGGAGGAATATGCTTTTTTACTTGTACTGAAGCCTGTGTCTTCCCCTGCCCCCCAAAAAGTCCAACTTAGGGGTTCACTTAAACAAATTATAATACCTTCATATAATGGGATATTAAACAAGCTTTACAAATGATACTGAAGTAATGTTTTTAGTAATCTGGGAAATGCTCAGGGTATTTTTTTTTTTTTTTTTGAGTTGGAGTCTCATTCTGTCACCCAGACTGGAATGCAGTGGCTGCTCCCGGCCACCGCAGCCTCGACCTGCTGGGCTCTGGCGATTCTTCCTCCTCAGTCTTCCAAGTAGCTGGAACTACAGGCGCGGGCTACCACGCCCGGCTAATTTTTTGATTTATTGTAGAGATAAGATCTTGCCAAGTTGCCCAGGTGGGTCTCGAACCCGTGGGCTCAGGCAATCCACTCACCTCAGCCTCCCAAGGCATGGGATTATAGGTTGAGCCACCAAGCCTGGCTTTGCTCAGGGTATTTAAGAAAAGGACACAAACTTGGATGTACACAATGATCTCATTTTTGCAAGTATACATGTCTAAAAAAATGCCAGGAAGAATCTATGACAAAATGTTCATTTGCTTACTCTCTGGGGTTCAAGATCACAGATGATTTTTTTCCTACCTCTTTCATCTTTTCTCTAATTTTCTTATTTCTTATAGTGATCAGGTATCCCCGGGGGGGGGGGGGGAAGCTGAAATGAGTCCCTATATATCTCCACAAAAGAACAAATCCTACTCATGCTTAATGTGCTGGATTTTCCTACTCAGAAGATGAGACTATAGTAGAGGAGCACAGGTACTTCTAGGAGGGGCCATATGGTTGGCAAACCAACTCTCGTTTTCCTAGAGGCTCTCTCTTCATGACCAAGTTTTGGTGTTCAAGAAGGTCTATGACCCCTGTCTCAGTTCAGATTTAGGTGCCAGGCTCCAATTCTCCAACCCCTCTGCCACTCTGGCTGCCAGAAGAAACTTTCTCAATTGGCTGTTATTCCTCTGCTAAAATCTGTGAATGGCTCCCCTGTGCCTGCAGGGTAAAGACCTAGTCTGACATTCATAATCCTTGGTGACCTGGCTTCTGCTGACCACTCCAGCTTCCTCCATGTACACCTCCCTAAACATGTCCTGTCTTGCTTCATCTGGCCAACTGCTACTTGGTCTTCTGGATTCAGCTCACTGCCTCCAATAAGTCTGCTCAGAGTTCCAAGGCTGGGTTAGGATGTCTGGGTTCCCACATTCCCCTTTGCTCTCTTCTGTCCCACTAGTCACACATTTGTATCTCTGCATCTCTGTATCCCTCAGGCTCCCCAACAAATGTGTTGCATAAATGAACTCTTCCAATCCTTAAAATTACCCTGTTAGATAGATGACTGTGACCCATTTGTCCAATGAGGAGACTAAGATTAAGAGAGAGGGTGGCTACTCCAGGTTGTCTATTTGGGAGGCAACAGAGTTGGCATCAGAGCTGGGGATGATCTCCCAGTTGCCTTTTCTCCTACACATTCTGTATCTCCCCCACTCCAGGGCAGAAGGCAGGCTGGGTGGTAGAGGTAGGAAGTGCCCAGGAAAGGGAACAAGAAAAAGGCTCTGGGCAAGCTGTGGGCACACAAGCTTAGGACTGTATAGGTTTGCTGGACTCAGATTGGAGGCTTTGCTATAGGAAGTTCTGTCTAAAGATATCTTATGTGGAATACAGACTGACATTTCCAGGGATCCTGTGTGTGCACATTTTGTTTAGGAGTTCAGTGTGAGGATATCAGTCTACGATTTCACTTGGGGGTTTAGGCTAGGGAGTGCAGTTTAGGGAGCCTGATGTAGGAGGTTGGTCTGGAAGCTTTAGTGGACATTGGTCTGGGCTTGGCAGTCTAGGATCTTGGTTGAGAGTTCAGTCTTGGGCTCAGTTTAGACAGCTGAGGCCAGGAGTTTCAGCTAGCCGGGTTTGGGGTGCTCGGTCTAGGGTCCAGGGTCCAGAGTTCAGTCTGGGAGGTAAAAAGTGGGCAGATCAGTCTACGGGACCAGACAAGATTCAGCGGGGCTCACATCTGAATACACTTTCTGGGGCTCAGCCTGGGGATTTTAGTCTGAGGGGTAAAATATATGGAGCTCAGCTCAGGATCTTGGGCTGAGAAGCTTAGTGGGCACATCTCAGGCTGGCTTTCATTCAGATTCTCATTCTGAGCAGCTCAGAAAACCAGACTGAGAAGTTCTTTCTTGGGTTTTCATCCTTAGAGTCAATGTGGGGATCTCAGTTGGCCAAGCTCAAGCTCTGAGGTTCATTTTGGGGGCTCAGATAGGGTTGGGATTGGTATAAAACAGAAAACTAAATTTCTTTTTTTTTTTTTGAATCAGAGTCTCACTCTGTCGCCCAGACTGGAATGCAGTGGCATGCTCACAGCTACCGTAGCCTCGACCTGCTGGGCTCAGGTGATCCTTCTGCCTCAGCCTTCCAAGTAGCTGGAATTTTAGGCATGCACCACTGTGCCCAGCTAATTATTTTTTAAAAATTTATTGTAGAGATGAGGTCTCACCAAGTTGTTCAGGCTGGTCTCAAACCCATGGGCTCAGGCAATCCTCTCACCTCAGCCTCCCAAAGTGCTGGGATTATAGGCATGAGCCACCGAGCCCAGCCACTAAATTTCTTAAGCTCAATCTGGGGGCCGATTTTAGGGGGATTTAGTATGAAGGGTGTTAGCCAGGGCATTCAATAATGAAGACAGCTAACATTTATTAAACCTTTACCATGTGCCAGGCACTGAGCTAAAAGCTTTACCCAGATTATCTCATGAGTACTGAAAACAACCCTAAGAGGTAGGTATCATTATCGTTCTCCATTCTACATGTATAAAAACTGAGGCTGAGTGACTAAGCAGCTTGCCTAAGGATATACAGTTAATAAAATTAACTCTATCTAGGGCCCACTCTAGGGAGCTTATACTGGCAGTTCACTTTGGGGGTCTAGTCCAGGGACACCATTTGAAAAATTTCCATCTGGGAATGCCATGCTGAGGATCCTGTGTGGAAATAAAATGGCAAAAGTGAGTCCTGGGAGCTCAATGTGTACATGTGATTCTGTGGAGGTCTGAGTGAAGAAATGAGACAAGAAGCTCCTTCTGGGGATCCCAGTCAGGAAGGTATAACATGTGGAAATTCAGTATGGCAGTGAGGGACCTTTCTTGGGTCTCTGTAAAAAGTCCAGGTTGGGCCGGGCTCGGTGGCTCAGCCTGTAATCCCAGCGCTGTGGGAGGCCGAGGTGAGTGGATTGCCCGAGCCCGTGGGTTCAAAACCCGCCTGGGCAACTTGACGAGACCTCATCTCTACAACAAATAAAAAAAAAATTAGTCAGGCATGGTAGTGCGCGCCTGTAGTTCCAGCTACTTGGAAGGCTGAGGCGGAAGGATCGCCGGAGCCCAGTAGGTCGAGGCAGCGGTTGATCAGTGGATAATGAAAATGTTGTATATATACATGGAATACTATTTAACCATAAAAAGGATGAAAAATGTTTTTTGTAGCAACTTGAATGAACTAACGCAGGAACAGAAAACCAAACACTGCATGTTCTCACTTATAAGTGGGAGCTAAACTAAGGATCTGCAAAGACATAGAGAATGCGATAATGGACACTAGAGACTCAGAAGGGGGAGGGGGAGAGATAAGATGTCACTTATAGGATACAAAATGCACAGGTGGGGGTGGTGGGTGCATTTAAAGCCCAGATTTCTTTGCCAATATACAACGTTTCTATGCAACCCAAACCATTTGTATCCCCTAAAGCTATTGAAATAAAAAGCAAAATGAAACAAAAAGAAAGAAAAAATAAAAAAGGATTTCTTAGCACCTTAATTCCATTTGGTAAAAAATAAGAAGAAAAAAGAAAATAGGGAGTTCAGTCTAGGGGAAGTCAGTCTGGGAGTTAAGACTGGGAAGAGCAGACTAGGCACTTAGCCTGGGAGGCTTAATTTGGGGGACAGTGTAGGACAATATTCCTGGGGCTCAGTGAGGGGACTCTCCATCTGGTGGATGGAAAATGGGCTAGGAAGAACACAGTCTGGAATCTGTTTGGAGCTCAGTCTGGGGCTGCTCAATTTCAGAGTTCTCTCCAGGGTTCATAGTGGGCAACTCTGGGAATCCAGTCTCGGGGCTCAGTAGGGTTTCAGTCTGTGGGATGGACCTGGAAGTCAGTCTTTTGGGCACAGCCTGGAAGTTTTGGTCTAAGGGATATTAAATGAGGGGATTAATCTAGGGTGCTCAGTTTGGCAACACCTGTCTATAGAATGATAGTCAAGATCAGACCGGGAAGATTTTTTTGGGTGGACTAACACTCTGGGACATTAGGCAGAGGGCTCTGACTGGGAACCCACTCTCAAGGCTCATTGCAGAGAGAGTGTTCTGGAGGCCCAGTCTGGGGATCTTAGTTTGAGGAACCAGTGTGGGGATCTATAATTGGGACCTCAGACTGGGGTTAGTCTGAGGACTCAGGTTAAAGATGTCAGTCCATGGGGCTCATGTCAGAGAATCAGTTTGGAAGGCTTTTTCTAGAGGTTTAGGTTATGTAGCTCATCCTGGTATCTCAGTGGGGGCTCTTATTTGGGGTGAAGAATGAGGTATTTATTTATTCTGCAGATGTCCATTTGTTCAGCCTAGTTAGCAAACTTCCTAGAGGCCTAGTTCTTTCTAGAGGTCCAGGCTTGGCATCAAAGTGCCCCATCTGGTGGAATGAAGGGCACTAAGTCTGCGAAGTAGCCACAGAAGTGGATACGATTCTCCACTCCCCATTCTTGTGGCAGAAAACCAGGACCCTATACTTTCCTGGTTTTCTGCTCTTTAGGGCTATGCCTTCTAAATCTCCTGTGCTGATTATTCCACCTCTGAGTTTTATTCTTGGCTCCATTTTCTGTTCCATTTATACTTGTTCCCTTTGGTGATTCTGGCCAGCCTCGTGGTTTTGAATACTATCTATGTGTCAATGATATCCAAATCTTTCCCTGGATTTCTAGACTTATCACTTTCAACCTGTCCAAAATCAAACTCCTAAGCTTATCTCAGGATCAATCACCACAAGCCAAAAACCTGCAAGTCATTGTTGAGTGTCCTAGGCCTCACATCCACTTGACCCTAGTCCTTTCAGTGCTGCTTCCAAATAGATCCTCAGCAAGGCAATTTTTCTCACTTAGATCATTCCAAATGTCTTCTAACTGATCTCTCTGCTCTCTCTCTCCTGCTCCCCAAGTAATCCAGATCAAAACCTTCCAAAGGCTACCCACCACCCAGAATAAAATCTATCTCCCTATCTCGGCCTTCAAAGTCTTGCTCCTCTCTCCAATTTCACTTTTGCCAATCTCCCTTCACTAGTCATGTTCAGGTCACACTAGCCTTCTTGTTGGTCCAGAGATATGCAGGCTGCCTACCACCCCCACCTCCTCTAATCTCCACCACCTGCCTCAGAAACTCTGCACTTGTTGTTGCCTCTTCCTGAAACGTACTCTACCCCCTCAATGGGGAAGAAGCTATCTTCTTGTTATCCAAGTTTTGACTCAAATGTCTTCTATTCAGAGAGGCCACCCAATTTAAAGTAGGCTCCCTGGCCACTGTCATATCATTCTCTTCTAATTATCTGAATTACACTTGGCACCTATGTAATATTTTCCTGTATATTCATTACTTTTGTTTACTGTTTCTCCCTGACTAGAATATACACTCCCTAAGATCAAGGTCTTTGTCTGCTTTGTTTAACTCCATATCCCCAGTGCCCAGAACAATACACAAAAACATTGAGGTGCTCAGTAAGTAGCTGATTAATGAATGAATGAATGGAAATAACAGTCTGGGGAAGAGAAAGTAGGGTAGACTCTGGGGAACTCTCTTTGGGGCATGACCCTATTGGGGGTAGGGCTGATACTGGAGGAATCAGAACAAAAGACTTTTCTAGTGGTTCAATGTGTAAGGACTCAGTCTGGGGAATGGTATCTCAGCCTGAAAATCCAAATCTGAGAAGTAGGAGATACAGGGTGCAGTCCAGGGTGTTCAGTTCTGGAGAGGTGACTCTGTGGGGCTCTGATCAGACTTGAAAGTTCTTTTGGGAAGTTCATTCTGGTAAGTGGCTGGTAGACAAGGAGTAAAGCTCTAAATCTGGAGGATGAAAAATCAGGAGCTTGACAAAACAGGGCTCTTTCTGGGGAACCCAGCTGTAGAGATTCAGTGAAGAGGGCTTGGCCTGAGGGGGTCAAGGGGCTCAGGCTCAGTTTCATTTTGCTCTTGGTTAAACTTCAGTTGGGGATCAACCTCAGGGTCTTATCCTAGGCAATGGATGGTTCCCTCTGGGGATCATTCTTTGTATGCCCCTCAAACTCTGGGGTTCCAATTGGGAAGTTCAGACTGGAGGACTTCTGAATGTTTTGTCTGGTACTCTAACAGGGATCTCAACATGGAGGTGCACCTTGGGATTACACTTCAGAGCCTCAATGTGGGCCTTTCAATTTAGAGACCCTACTCTGGGATCTCAATCACGCGGCAACGAAAGGTTAACACTGTGAGTTCAGTCTTGGGGTCCTGTCTCAGAGGTCTGGCCTAGGGCTAACAGTGCGGGGAGCAGGGCAGGGCCTGGGTGCACACACTCACTTTGGGCATCCTTGCTGTCCGGGGAGCCATGGGGCAGCTTTAACAGATAGTCCTTGAGAAGTAGCTCATAGCGGGGGATGCGCTGCACGGGCTCCAGCATGTGGTGCTGCAATGTCAGGTTGCCACAGGCTTCCTCCTTCTGTGACAGGCAGAAGCAGAGGGGTTCAGGTCTGGTTGCAGATCCCCCACCAGGTCCCTGCAGACCTCTTCTCCCAAGTCTGCTCCATCCAGCTTCACCACTTACCTGCACCTCATGGATGATGACTTTAAATTGGGTGGAACGCTCTGTCCAAGTATTGACCAGCTCCACAGCCCGGTCAAAATTCTTTACATATTCGCCATACATCTTGAGGAAGGGTGCCAGCTTCTGTAGGATGTCTCCAATTCGTGGGTAGCGGTCCCTGAGGTGGAAGTAGGGGCTGACATGGTCCTGCTGATCCTCCCCCTGCCATAATTCTTTCCCCCCGCAGAATTCTCCCTTACAGGTCTCCAGTCCTGTGGAGACTGCTCTTGTCTCAGTCCTGGAAACCTACTTCTCAGGTAGTCTGCTCCCTCAGAAATGCTATCAGCAGCTGGGCTCAGTGGCTCAGCCTGTAATCCCGCGCCTTTGGGAGGCTGAGGTGAGTGGATTGCCTGAGCCCGCGGGTTCGAGACCCGCCTGGGCAACTTGGTGAGACCTCATCTCTACAATAAGTCAAAAATTAGCCAGGCATGGTAGCGTGTGCCTGTAGTTCCAGCTACTCGGATGGCTGAGGCAGAAGGATGGCCGGAGCCCAGCAGGTCAAGGCTGCGGTGGCCGGGAGCGGCCACTGCACTCCAGTCTGGGTGACGGAGTGAGACTCCAACTCAAAAAAAAAAGAAATGCTATTGGGATTATAGGTCAATTAGGCCAAGAGACTTGGCTTGGCTTGACCTAAGGCCATGGCCTGGGGTGCCACCTGCCTCAACTCTGCCCTGCTCTAGCACCAGGAATGACATGTCTTAGAATACCCACCCTGAACTTACTACGAAGGCCGCTGCATACACCCACTTGTGTTGGGTGATTCTGGGGACCCAGAAATGAGTCACATCCAATTGAGCCCTGAGAGGGTCACTGTCTCTTAGGGGAGGCAAAGTGACCAGGCCTGGCTGCACTCCTCATAGGTTAGTCTGATGCAGGAGACAAACAAACCAGACCTGGTCCCGGCCATTAGGGATCACAAGCCAGTGGGGAAATACAGGAATCAGGCTTCATGCTAGCCCTCTGTGATCACAGTCTGGTGAAGGGTATATATTTTACCCTACAGGTGTGGGAAACATGAAGATGATTTTAAGTAGGGAGTGATGTGATCTGATTGCTGTCTGGAAAGATCACTATGGCAGATGGTGTAGACTGTAAAGGCTGGATTGGAAGAGCAAGGTCTGGAGGCTGCCTCTAAACCTTACCCTTCTACCTCAGGACTCAGCTCAGGCATTGCCTCCTCTCTGAATCCCTCTCTAATACCCAAACTAGTCTTGGTCTATTTGTTTAGATTCCCACAGCGTCCCATTCTCAGCTCTATCATAGCATTGACAAAAATAACAATAGCTCACATTCATTGAGTACTTATTACATATACCAGCTACTGCTCTAAGCTCACTACGTGTATTAACTGATTTAATTCTTGAAACAACCATACAAGGTAAGCTGTTATTATTATCCCCATTTTATAGATGAGGAACCTGAGGTACAGCAACTCAAGAAACTTGCTCAGAGCTAGCAAGTTGCAGAACTGGAATTTGAACACAGCTAATTTGGCTCCTAACCTCATTCTCTGGAGGCCTATGCTATTCTGTTGTAATTTTTTGAGTCCCGGTCTATGTTCCATATTAGACTGGGAGGGCCTAGAAAGGAGAGCTTGGGGCTGCTTTTTTTTTTGAGTCGGAGTCTCAATGTTGCCCAGGCAGGAATGCAGTAGCATACTCATGGCCACCTCGGCCTCAACCTGCTGGGCTCAGGCAATCCTTCCATCTCAGCCTTCCAAGTAGCTGGAACCACAGGTGCACGCCACCTATGCCCAGTTAATTTTTGATTTATTGTAGACACCAGGTCTCGCCAAGTTACCCAAGCTGGTCTCTAACCTCTAGGCTCAGGCAATTCTCTCACCTCTGCCTCCCAAAGTGCTGGGATTACAGGCATGAGTCACCGTGCCTGGTTCTTGGGCCTGATTGTTTTTGTGAAAGTCAGTAAGAGGAGAGGGTAGGCAGGAATGAATTCTTGTATACGCATCTGGGTCTGGGTTCAGCAGGCATGTGGACAGGGGAGCAAGTAGCGTAGGTCTGGGGCCCCTTACCATTCCTCCATGCGCTTCTCTAGCTCAGGCAGCAGGAACTGCTGGTGGAAGCAATAGATGGAGCAGATGTTAGAGAAGATGCCGTGGACAACGTCAGCCGGGAAGGAACTGCGGTTCCGAGCTTCTTCCAGCAGCCGGGCACAAAACACCTGTGGGGCAGGGCAGGAATGCTCAGCCCAGCTGGGCCTGGGGCATAGCTGGGGAAGGGGCAGCTTGTGGGTGAGGGCAGTGTTTGTGGCACTTAGGGATCAGCATTGGTCTTGACACTGAGAATTGAGGGAATGGAGTTAGGGCTATATATGGGGGGTTAGATTTCAGGTTGTCAAGGTTGACCTGAAGTTAGGCATTGGAACAATCAGAAGTCAGGGTCAGCGTCAGGGTCAAGGCTAGAATTAGATTCAGGGTCAGAGAGAAAATCAGAATTAGATTCATTCATTTAACAAACATTGTTGAGTACTTATTGTGTGTCAGGCAATGTCCTAGAGTCTAAGATAGAGTAGTGAATAAAGCAGGCAAATATCTCTACTCTTAGGGATTCTAGAGGATATGGGATCAGGAATAGGGTTAGGGTTAGAATGAGGTTCACAGCTGGGATAAATTCAGGATCTGAGTCACAGTCAGCATTAGTGTCAGAGTCACAGTCAGGGCTTGTGTACCTGCCCAGGATTAGGAAAGACAGTTGGTATGAGGCTGAAGCTTGGGGTCATAATCAGAGTTGGCTTCCGGGACAAGTTGACTTCAAGGTTAGGGAGGAATCTTACTTCCTCTAGATTCTGGTCCCAGTGGTGGGGTTGAGCTCAGGCTCTATCACTTCCTCCTTAGAACCCACCTACTAGGTACTGGGACCCCACGGCCCTTGAGAGGCCAACTTGCCTGATCCAGGAGATGGAGCCTAGAAACGTAAGCCTTCTCAGTCTGCAGAAGCTCATTGGCAATGTGAAACACCTTCTGTTGCACAGTCAACTGGAAAAAAGAAGAGGTGACCCCGATCCATCATCCCCTACCCTAACCCTTACCCAAGTCCCCAGAATCCTTAAAACAGCTCACATGCCACTCTAAGTCTAATGCCACCTAAAGATAACCGCGACTTCTATGTCTAGATCTGTAAGCTCCCCAGCCTACTATAAAGCCCACCCCTCAATTCTGATGACATGCACTCCCTTGTTCTACTACTCTTTCATTTGTCCATTCATCTGCTCTATTCATTCAGTACAGTATAGTGATTAAGCATGTGGGTAGGGAAGTCAGATTTCCTGGATCCAAATGCTATGCTGTCATTCACTAGGTTACATAGTTGCTTAACTACTCTGTATTTAAGACTTCTCATCCTTAAGTACAGACAATAATAGGGCCAATTTAATATAAAGGACAGTGAGAAACAAAAGCAAAACAAAAAGTAATACGACTTAAGAACATTTGTAAAGGAGACAATTAAATAATTCAATATAAATAAAACATAGCAGACTACAGATTAAGTTGTCTACAAATGCTAGTTATTTATTCACCCACTCAGTTCACTATCAATAAGGGCTTGCTGAGTACCTGGGGTGTGAGAAGAACACAAAAGTGGAAAAATATATAAAACTCATTGCTTGTCAGCCCAGTTTCCTATTTGTTAGACCCACATTTACTGAATATATGCCATCCCAGAAGTCCCTGGCCTTAGTCCCCACATTTGAGCTTGGTCCTGGTGTAGTAGATATTCTGGTCGAGACCTGACTCAAGTGCAAAGATACCTTCTGAAGAAATGTTAGGCAGGGCACAGAAACAGGTCCCTGCTGCCAAGAGCCTTCATCTCCACACACTCAGGTTCCTGAGGGGCTCCAGCTGTTGAGAAGTCTCTCTGGATGTGAGAGACTTTCCATTTTACAAATAAGAAAACTGAGGCTTGCAGTGGGGGAGTGGAGAGGGAAAAGACTTGTCCAATGTCACACAGCTACTGAGTCATGGGGGTTTCAAGCTGGAACAGGGCTTTAAAGATCCTCAACCAAGATGCCCATCTTCAAGATGGAAAAACTTAAGTCCCCTCAGTGGTTCTCTGATGAGAGAAGAATAACCTTTCTAGTTATTTGGAACCGTGCAAGGTCACTTTGGTAGTCATAGTGATTTGGGGGTGGGGGGGAGTGGGGGAGACCAGGGGCTTGTTACTGGTATTTAGTGCCAGGAGACCAGGGAAGTTAAACATCCAAAATGGAAACTATGTTCTATTTTGAGAAATACTGAGCTAGGGGAAGAAACAAGCATAAACGGCTAATGGTTTCTCCACACGGTCCTCTCAGTGAATGAGGGTCAGTACCTCTACAGACTCCTGTCTCTCCATCGGGGGTACTGGGATTTCTCTGTCCTTCTCATCCTCCTCCTCGTCGTCCTCCTCCTCCAGGTCACTGTCAACCTCCTGGGAGCCAGGCCGGTGGGGGTCGGCCAAGGTAACAGGCACACTGGCCAGGGCAGGGGGCCCGGGGCAGAGGCTGTGGCTGGGGGGCCCATCATCACTGACGAAGCAGGTCTCCTCGCTGTTGGATGGCGAGCTGATGCTGTCAATGCCGCTGTCCCGGTTGGGCACCTTCTCACCGTCCCGGGGCCCAGGAGCCAGCAGAAACAGGCAGCGGGAGGCCTCGCCCTCGGGGAGCTGGGGTACTGGTGGTTGCGGGGGTGGCTGTGGCAACATGGCTGGCTCTGGGGGACCTGGGCTGGGGCCAGGGACTGGCCTATCCGAGGCGACAATCACGGGCTCTCTGAGGTAGGTGGTGGATACACATGGAGGCACGACATGAGCTTGACTGAGCAGCTTCTCCTATGACTCCCTTCCTATCCCAGATTTCTCCTTCCCCACATCGGGTCCCCCAGGGACCAGACTCACCTTTCAAACTTCTCAATCAGTGAGGATACTGCTGCAGAACTGGGGCTGGCCTCCACCCTGGGGGCCAGGCCCTTGGCCACTCGGGGGTCTGCAGGAAGTGGGCGTGATGGTGGAGGGGGTATGGGCTCAGGTGGGGGGGGCATCCGGGGCATCTGCAGGTAGCTGGGCTTAGGAGGTACTGGAGAGATGGACAGGGAAGAGAGAGGAGACCTCAGTGAGCTGGCTTGCGGGGTAGTTGTCATGGGCAGGCCACATCTGCCTCCACAAACCCTGGTCTGTACCCTTGCCTGAGGTAGGCACAGAGCAACCCGAGGTGAAATCCCAGGTGTAAACAAATTCGCCCCAAGCCATAGCCCTCTGCGCACTGAGTAACTGGTGCCTGAGAATTTGGTGCCTCCCTGTCCTAACAAGCCCTCTCCTCTGCCACTGACTAACTTCTCCCCTCCTTTGCATCATTTCTCTGCTCCTTTCTGGACCCACTTACCTTGTGGCTTTGGGCCCGGTACGCGCTTCAGTGGTGAAGGACGCTGGCTAGGAGTTTCAGTTGGGGGGCCTGGGTCTGAGCGAAGACGATGGGGACCTTCTGGATGAGGTTCAAGGCTCTGGCCAGGGTCAAGGGACAAACTTTTAACTAGGATCCGGTTTCCCTGGTGCAGCCCTGCAGAAAGGGAAAAACTGGATGTGAAGCAACTGCCTCTACCCCAAGGGAGACTAGGGAGTTGCATATCTTAGCAGGTATCTAGGGTGTTGGGTTTCCCTGAGCCCCTTTCCTGGCCATAATGCTTTCCTGGGAAGCCCCTACCTTAGCTCTCAGATGGAGAGCCAGACCCCGAGCCGGGGCTGGCTGTATTCATCAGCTGATAAGAGTTCTTTGTGTTAGTGCCTTGATTCCATGTATGTCAGCAGGAATTATCACTAGGAAGTTTAACTAGGCTGGAGGTGGGAGTGAATACCCTAAAGTTTGTGTATGTGTTTGCACAGCCACAATGGGTACACTGAACATAAACCATTCTTCATTCCTTTTTTTCAGGGCCTGAGAACATCTAGATTTTCTTGTTTACAATTTTTTATAGCTGAGTGCACTTAAAAACAATAAAAGTGTATTTCATGGGCAAAAATTCTGCTTCCTTTTTTTTGAGACAGTGTCTCACTCTGTCACCCAAGCTGGAGTGCAGTGGCATGATCACGGTTCACTGCAACATCAACCTCCTGGACTCAAGTGATCCTCCTGCCCCAGACTCCCGAGTAGCTGGGACTACTGGCGCATGCCACCACACTTGGGTAAATTTTGTATTTTCTTTTGTAGAAATAGGGTCTCACTATGTTACCTAGGCTGTCTCAAATTCCTGACCTCAAGTAATCTTCCCATCTCGGCCTCCCAAAGTGTTGGGATTACAGGCATGAACAACTGTGCCTGACTCCACGTTTTGCTTCTTAAAATCTCAGTCTCTCACCAATTTGTACTACCCTACTCTACTTCCATATCCACATACAACCACATACACCCTCCCCACACACCCAGTACCCAGAGTTCAGGTCACAGGAGCAACTTTAAAACAGCAAGCAGCCAATTCTGAAAAAAGGGGGGCCTTTTTGTAGCGTCCTTCCTCCCTCAGAATAGGTCCCTGAAAGCCACCTTTATCTTTGGCCTGGAGGAGATGATGGTCATGCTTATGAAAGATTTGGTCTAGGAGGCAGTGAGAGACCCCTCCCTCCAGGGATGACATGACCCAAAAGAAGGAATGTGGGGTTCATGTGGTCCTGGCTGGGCAGGGGTCTGTGGAGTGCCTCAGATGATAGAGAAGTCAGGTGGGGTCAGAGAGGAGATGGAAAAGTGTTGGATGCTAGGCTGAGTAGATGGACATCCATCCTGTGGCAGAAGGGGGCCACGAAAAGCCCTTGTGTAGGGTGAGACGCAGGCAAACAGGTGTGATAACAAGAGTGAGTGGTAGTCAAGAGCTCCCGAAGGTACCATTGTCACATGGTGTTGGTTATGTTGTGCCACAGCCACGTGGCCTCTCACTTACAGCCATAAAGAAAAGGTCTGTTACCCTGTGTCACACACAGTCTCATAAATGACCAGTTACAAATGGGCCTACTCAGTCCCCAAAATACATGGTGTTATTTACCACAGAAATTCAGACATCCAATTATACATCATCACCCTTCTGAAAGCCTGATCACGCAGTCACAAAGAGCCACCCTCACATATGATCACACAGCTTCTTGGCACCACACATGCCTGCAAACATGTTCATGCATAGACAACAAAGACACACAGTCACACAATGGCAATTCTACCATTTTACACACAGCCTCACACAATTGCCCACAAACCATCATATACCCAGGTATACACTCAAACATGGTTCCACTGAGCCACAAAGATATACAGTCGTTTACCCTGTGTCTCACAATTCAAGGCCATAAAGTATCATAAATACTATAATGTGCCTTCCAACACCTGCAAACACGGTTATACACAAAGACTATAGCCACACAGTGTCAATTATACCATTTTAGACAAAACCTCACACAATAGCAAAACATAAAGTCACATGCCACCACATACTCAGAAATAGACACAATCACAGACACATGGCATATAATTGGCCCTCTATGTCTGTGGGTTCCACATCCGAGGTTGGTTAATTAAAAATATTTGAAAGAAAACACTGTATTAAAAACAATACAAATAAAAACAATGTAGTATAAAAATTATTTACATAGCATTTATATTGCATAAGGTATTATAAGTAATCTAATAATGATTTACAGTACAGGGGAGTATATGCATAGTTTATATGCAAATACTACACCATTTTATGTCAGGAACCAATCCTTTATGGATACTAAGGGACATCTGTCAGTCCTAGAGGTAAAGAGTAGCCCAACTCACAGGGTTCCAGTACATTCCGAGGCCCAAGGCCCTGACCCTTCCCCGGGCTATATCCTAGTCAGGTAAGCCCCAGAGGACTCAGGCCAAGGTCCTTCCCCAGCCATGAGGGACCATGATATCCTAGGCTGAGCACCCCTCCCTGTGCAGTTCTTTACTTCCTTTCCCACCTGAGCAGGCAGGGAAAAAGAGAGGGGATGCTCCTCTTCATTCAGCTGGGTGGCTTACCCTGCCCTGTGTAGCATATCCTGGTCTGATCCTGTCCTGCCTGCCCAGGGGGGCATGGGGCTGAGGAAGATAAATCACCTGGAGAAGATGCAGTTGGAAACACATGGCCGTAGAAAGGGAGAGACACAGAGAGTAGCTGACAGGGTCAGAGAACCAATGAGTAAAGCCAGACACCCCAGCATTACAGACTGCCCTCTTCGATATACATGCATAGGTATCAGGGTCCCCACTGTCCCTTGTCTGCCTCCTTGGGCCTGGAGGAGCCCACCTGGCCTGTCTCCATACCTCAAAGCAGGCAGACCTCCCTGGGCAAGCCCTACCCATCCCATCTGTAGCAGGGCAAGAGGGCCCTGACTGGGGCTTCTGTCCCTCTGTTCCACTGCTGGCCCTTGGGGTGACCATACCACACTCCATGGCCCTGCCCTGGCCCCCCTTTGCTCCCTTCTCAACCATCTCACCTGGGAGCCCACAGATGGGCTTGCCTCTCCATTCTCTCTGCCTCCTTGCAGGCAGCCCTGCAGAATAAGGGGCTGAATGAAACTCAAAGATCCCAGGACACCCTAAAGTCCCAGGTGAGAGAGGCAGGGATTGTCAGCCCAGTTTCTTTCTTTCTTTCTTTCTTTTTTTGAGTAGGAGTCTCTCTGTCGCCCAGGTTGGAGTGCAGTGGCATGCTCATGGCTACCGCAGCCTCAACCTGCTGGGCTCTGGCAATTTTTCTGCCTTGGCCTTCCAATTAGCTGGAACCACAGGTACACGCCACCATGCCCGGCTAATTTTTTGATTTATTGTAGAGACGAGGTCTCCACAAGTTGCCCAGGCTGGTCTTAGGCAATCCTCTCACCTCCACCTCTGAAAGTCACATGCCACATGGGATTACAGGCATGAGCCACCAAGCCCAGTGTCAGCTCAGTTTCTAATGAGGAGATGAATGCAGAGAGAGGGGCAATGACCTGCCCAAGGTCATACAGTAAGTCAATGGCGGACTTGTCCTAGACTGGATTTCTTTCTTAACCCTGCTCTTCAAAGGGAAAGCTGGAAAACAGGGGAACCAATAGGGGTAGCAGTGTAGCTAGTGAGAAGGACACCCCCAACCCGGCCCACAAGGAGATGAACAACAGGGTTCCAGTTCAGGAGTCCAGGTCTGGCCAAGAACCAGGCTAGACTCCACAGAGAGGGGGGACAAGTTTCAAGATCCTGTTTCAGAACTCTCCCTACATCTCCCTGTCTCCTCCTGTTTTCCCTCAGTGGCTCTCTTAGTCTTAGGTCTTGCTCCTTCCAGGGCTGGATGAAATTTCTTACAGTCCGGTTCAGATCATGCTACTTACCTGCACAAGAACCTTTGGTAACTCTTCATTGCCCATGGGGAAATATGAGAAAATTCTCATCTTTTCCCTTGGGGTGCTCCCCTTCCCCCTTCCTGAAACCACTGCCCTGGCTGGGCCTAGTGACTCACGTCTATAATCCCAGCACTTTGGGAGGTGGAGGTGAGAGGACTGCCTGAGCCCACAGGTTTGAGACCAGCCTGGCAACTTGGTGAGACTTCGTCTCTACAATAAATAAAAAAATTAGCTGGGCATGGTGGCCTGTACCTGTGGTTCCAGTTATTTGGAAGGCTGATCGCCTGAGCCCAGCAGTTTGGGCCTGTGGTGGCCGTGAGCATGCAACTACACTCCAGCCTGGGTGACAGAGTGAGATTGCGACTCAAAAAAAAAGGAACCACAGCCCTTTCCCACTGCTCCATCCCATCCCCACTCAGCAAGGTCCTATACTGATTTTTTCCAGTTCATTTTTCTTTTTTTTTTCAGAGATGGGTCTTACTCTGTTGACTAGGCTGGAGTACAGTGGCATGATCATAGCTCACCGCAGCCTCATACTCTTGGGCTTGAGGGATTCTTCCATTTTAGCCTCCCATGGAGCTAGGACTGCAAGTGCATGCCACCATGCCCAACTAATTTTAAAATTTTTTTGTAAAGACAGAGTCTCACTATGTTGTCTAGGCTGGTCTCACTCCTAGCCTCAAGTGATACTTATGCATCGGCCTCCCAAAGTGCTGGGATTCCAGGTATGAGTCACTTCGCCTGGCCCCATTTTTCTTATGGCTGGTAATCTACACTATTCTCACATATATCCTCACATCCATTCCTGCACACCTGACAAGATCCTCCACTGCCCCCTTCAGCACTGGATTTACCAGAATCCCTGATGCCCATTAGAGCAGAGATCACAAAGAAGCCCCTTTACACACAGTCACATCACCATTTTTTTTTTTAGATAAGGTCTCACTATGTTGCCCAGATACTCTTGGACTCCTGGACTCAAAACATCCTCTCGTCTCAGCCTCCAGAATAGCTGGGACTACAGGCACATGCCACTGCACCTGGCCACACCTAATCTTGTAACACTTTGTGGAAATGTACCCAACCACACACCAACAGTGCACAGCCCTAAAAGACCTAGAGAGAACGACAAAGGTTCAAGTGTCCATGTGCACCGTGTTCAACGCAATTGTACACACAACCACCACAGTCTCCTCT